TGGAATAAATAAGCACGAGTAAATTTTTTTAAAGACTAACAAAATTGCATGAGCCCAAAGGGCGAGTGCAATTTGTGGTCTTTGAAAAAATTTACAAGTGCTTATTTATTCCAAATTGCATGAGAAAATCATGTGATTATCTACTAATAATATACATGAAAAAACATGAGGTAGCTTCTCAAAACTATGCAGAAGAAAAGTGCATGCATCACATGCAAAAATAATTTATTCAAACCCTGAAAGTGACATTGACCTTAACATTGACTTGACGTTGACAATGACCAATCAGAATGTCTGGTTTGTTTCTTTCCTTGCACTGAATTAACCCTCTTCTGCACTGAATTAACTGAAAACTGCATTCATCTTAACCAATCAGAACTGAGAAATGTTTTCATGTATATTATTAGGACAGTAACACTGACTGGATATAACCTAACCAAATCTATTGTTGTTTGATCCCAACTGCACCCCGACTAGCCATATCTAAGAGTAAAACTTGACCTTGGTTATCTATTCCTGAGCAGTAATCACTGCAATCACTCAATATCTCTTTCATTTGATCAATATTTCCACATATACCACACACTTATCAAAGCACATCACAGCTAAACCATATTTAGCAAAAATACATAAAAAAAAGTCACCCTACTTACTGCGTTGATCTTTGGCTTATCATTTTGCCTTTTCTTAAGCTCTTCCAACATTTTAACCATGTCTGGTTCTGCCAGGTCGATAGGTGTTGAACCCTATGGACAAGTTAGCATTAGCAACAGCTACAAAACATTCAATTTGCACGTGTACCTCTCTAACAACTTGACAGACAGAAAGACAAACTGATTTACTAACTTTCTGTCTCAATGAATGACTGACACACTGACTCATTCACAGACAGACAAACAGAGAGCCCAACACAGTAATAAATTATCTGACTTTCTAACCCTCAAAACCACAAACTATCTACAGCTGTACCTTTGGTGTTTGCACATTTTTAATTTCTGATATCTGATTGGCTTTTTCTATGAAACCCAACAATATTCCATAACTACATCAGGTCATCACAGTTTTCCCAGTTTCACATCCAGGGCTCAACACTAACGGTAGCCAACTACCCACAGACTAGTAGAAATTCAGTTTTGGCTAGTGGTTTTCGATTTTCACCAGTCAGTTTGGCCAGTAAACAAACTGAAATTGTCGTAACATCTAAGTTGTCACTAGCCACTTGGCTAGTAAGTTGGAAAGTTAGTGTCAGGCCCTGAAACCAATAAGATGGCAATCAAAGAGAAGTTTACAATAAATATGCCTAATTAAAGCATAATGCTCCAGACTGTAAAAGATGAGGACATTATGCTACTGATTTAATGGTGACTGAAACACATATATGTACATCTCTTGAACATCTTACCGCATTACTAGTAGCCCTAAAGTTGGCTCCATGATCAGCAAGTATTTCACATGCATCACTTTGCCCCCAGTGAACCGCTGCATGTAATGGCGTCCAGCCATCATTGTCCTTGGCATTGATATCAACACCAAGTTGAAGTAAAAGACTGAGGAAGAATGCAAACCAATCAATATACAAAAACTGGTAGGACATTAAAGAAAACCTTATAATTAAGAGGAACATGTATGTCACTGCTTCAATATCATGAATTTGGTAATAAACAATGGTATATACCACAGAAATGAATAGTGCTTTTTGGTGTGCTGTTTAGCTAGTTTAAAACTGATTAGCAATACATACACTACTTACATCTAAGCAACCAAAGAGACAAATCAGGTGTCAAGGGTGCATGACCATTGACAGAAACAAACTATTTTGTTAGTTTCTGTGTGGTATATACATGTACTAACACAATCATTCACCTCCACGTCTGTGAAAGTAGTGGACATTACCTCGCTCCACTTTGGTGAATTAATTTTTAACTATTCTCATGCTACCTCAACTTTTATTGAAAAACCTGCATCAAACAGAGGGCAAAATCACTTATCCACAACACCCAAATGTGCGAGTGTATAGGAATTCAAATGAGTAACTGCATAAACATAGTACCCTAAGAACAGGATCAGGAGGAGTCAAAACTACACAAGACAAAGCAGCTTGACAAGACCTTAACAGTGACTTCATATGACACTGGGCCTAATGATGTTGAGTGAGTGAGTCTCACAAAATATCCACACTTCTGTCAGACAAAAGGGATTTAAAATATCTAGGTGGTACATGAGAAGACGAGGGGTATGAAGGCGTGATGAATTCCTGGAGGGAGAAGACTGTCCTTACCAGGAGTTTCAATAAAAGTTGCCTAAGGCAGTCTACCACTACCTGTAAGACCTCTCACTGCTGCCCGTTTAGCCTGCAAGCAGGCTCAAGTTTAGGTTTATGGTTATAGCACAGCTGCCAATTACACCAGCTTATGGAGAAACTTTTTACTACCCATGCTTATGTACCTACCTAATAACTTGTAAATAACCTTTTGATGCAGCAACATGTAATGCTGAAGCACCTAAAGAGAAAAACGTTTGTCTTAGTATGTTTAAACTGCAATTCTTATGTACTGTATGAGCTGCAATTTGGGTTCAAATTATACTTATCCATAATATGAAAGTTTGTACACCTACTGTACCACTCAGATATATGATATTTATTATGCACAGATGTGTGCTTACTGCAGCAACTCAGCCAAAGGGAATGCATTCCTCAGACTCTAATCAACAGCCAAGTGTTTGTTTGTCTAAGTTTAAAAACATGACAGACATAAAAAAAAACTAGCTATTGCAAATTTAACAAAAACACAGAGAAGTCCTCTTTTGGACAACAGGTACTTCAGAAAGTCTTCAAATCACTTGGAAATCCTGATCATCAGTTTTACCTGACACAGTTGGGAACTTTCGTCATCTGATGAAACCTCCCCCACAGATGACTGGATGGTTTGAAGGATAAAACCTAGGGGTTTGGATTACTTATCCACTGAGAAGGAAAAAAACCTGTGCTATTACTTCACCTGATCTATCTTTAATTTCATTCATTGTTTTACCATTCGTCCAACTCTGAGCATCTTCTAACATTATTCTCTCCTCTTTACTTCTTGCTTCTTCAACATCAATTCCTGAAAGGCATAAGATAAAAATTCATTTCATCACAAAAAAAAACTGCACAGAGCAAAACAAAACTAACATCAGACTCTTGCAATTTTACAAAAAGTATTTAAAAATGCTGCTAATTGAGGGACTTTCTTCATGTTGTTATTATGAAGTCAATTAGTTATGTTGTAGTGTAAGTGCTTATGGTGTTCTTATCTGTGACTTGTTGGCCGATCACATCAACCTCAAAATCAAGAGGCTGCTGGTAGTTCAAGTGATCGAAAGTTTTCAAAAGGGTAAAAAAGCAATATAGTAAAGAATTAGTCCTAAGTCTTAGTTCACCAGTTACCACTGATCAACATGAATGATAATTGACTTTTCATTACAACTTCACGATGGTTTAAGTGTGGGTAAACATTTTGTGGGTCGATCAAGTATTCATATATGCACTCTATTGTTTTTTTTAATTGAATATTCATTATTCATGGCATGAACAATTTCCGAAAATGTAGCTAGCTTGCACTATCGCAAGCGCTTTGATGCTAGGTGTGATATATTTCTTTTGTTTCCAGTTTCATGCTCAAATGATGTTTTGACACGCTATTGTTTCGTTAAAATTAACTTTCTAATAAAAGTGGAAAGCCAGAACTTTTATCATGCTAAAAGTGTAAGATGATGATGCCTGATAGCCATTGCATCAAATGCATAGCAAAAAAACATCGTAGGTTTTGGGTTCAGAACTGAGTCCTCCAGGTCTGGTTTGAAAACTGCAAATTTTTAAACGTCTTTCCTCTGTAAACTAATAAAAATGTTTCACTACCGAAGAGAAATAATAAGATCTTAACCATTTGACTTTTGCCGCAGCACGTTTTAAAAGTTTTACCAACCGTTCATCAAAGAAACAGCGGTAACTTGTTAACATTGAATAAAACATTAGTTCCCACTAAAAAAAAGTCCCTCTCTCTTTTTTACATTCGAAAGCTTACTGAAGTTTCCAATGTTGCTAAAGAAACCTCATACACAAAAAGTAAACTGATTGGTGTTTGCGAATCGGAACATAAGAAAAGCCTTTCTGTTGACATTCGTGGTCATGAGCGAAAATATGCTAAGCAGCCGCATGCAACATGCTAATCTACAAACTCGCTGACATTTTAATCTCCGCTTCGTTTCTTTGCTTTCAAAAGTTTACTGCATTCTTTTCAAGCCTGTTCTCCTATAATGTCCTCATCTCCAATGGAGAGGAAAATATAGAACTATTTTGCACAGACTCGGACACGCCAGCGTCACGCAATGAAATGTGCCAATGAAAATCCCGACTCAGATTGGTCAGTTTCACGTGGTTGGTGTGACAACTGGAATGGACTGTTTGAACATCTCAGACTAACAGCTGAAACATTTCAAAGTTATTGAGGCCGATACGACACTGGCCTTTAAGGCTTGTGAAAGAAATTAAACACCGAGCTAACATCGGCGATGCACTAATGAATTGAATAAAGCATAGGAACTTGACCAGCCACATCTTGTAAATAAAATTCCATCCAAAATCCATCATTTGCCAATACTAGAACACAGCCTTTAATTTAAATTTCACTTTCAGGTTTTCAAAGGCAAATCAAATAGTGGCGAAGAGTTATAATTTTTATCAGAAATCTGTTTCTCCGCTTTACCTCAACCAAAAGTTTCGTTTAAGGGCTAGTTTTAAAGCTTTTGAAGCGCTTCTCAACACTAAACCAAAAGTGAAATCGTTAATTTAGTGTGAAGCATTCAGTTGCAGAAAAACACAAGGTGACATTTTTGGTAAACATGAATTCAATATAAAAAAAAGGATACTAATTTGATGCCACGCAATTTGCCCGCATTGTTAGAACCTTTTGAAAAGGAATAATAGCTTCTCTACCCAAAAGTCGCAAGTTTACTCTAATCGGATAAAGACCGAACCCGAGCGAACAGCTCTCAGAAATGCAGCTTTGAGCCCTCGTGGTAAAAATGCCAGCGGCTACCCCCATTTCAAAAAGACATACTCTTAAACTGTTGTGAAGTTGTAATGTGTCAAAGCAGAAAACATACTGTCAAAGCAGAACACATACTGTTGGTATCTTGGGGCACTTACATTTAGAAATAACTGAAAGGCCAGATCAGTTTAGAAAGTGTGTTAACGTAAGTGTTCAGCTAGATTAGCCACTTCATAAATTCCAGAGATTAATTACTGTAATTTCCGGCCATTTACCCGTGGGTAATCTGATGATTTTGCCCTAAACACGCGCCACTGCAGGTAATAGGGAGGTGTGGGTTATGTGACAATTTTAAAATCAACGGGAAGTTGAATTGAAAAAAATTTCACCTACCTGCGTTTCCACCACTCAATAGAATTTTATTGTATTACAAGTGCCACAAAGCGGCACAAAAACATGATGCCGACTCGAGTTATTTCATGCACAATTAGTTGCGTGACGAACAAATTTTTATCGGCACATGTGTAAACAAAACCTTGATGGTGACAAAATAATCTAAGGGTGTCCGGTGCATCGGTAACAAATTTCCGATTAACACTAGCTAGAGCTGAAGAGAATTTTCCCATTTTAAGAGACTTGTAAAGCGCAATAGAACCGGAGATATCAATTTTTTTTGAGAAATCAACAATTCAACATGGCGTTGAACGATCACTAGCACAAAATATGGCCACAAATTTGCATTCTGTTGAGTATGAAATGTTGTGAGCCTTTTTGTACAAATTTTCTTTGCTTTTAAGGTACGGGTTATCCACCAGTGTGGGTAATCTGTTGACTTTTTTTTCACTGCATGCAATAATCAGCCAGTGTGGGTAATCAGTCATGCAGGTAAACGGCCCGAAATTGCGGTAAATGAAACTTTGTAAAAATTACAGAGTTTTCAGAGGGATTGTCTCATCGTTTTCTGTTGAAAAGACTGAGCAGATAATCTTACTAACGGCTAGTAACCTGACTATTACAGAGTTACCTAGTCTAATCAAACACAACATAATTTCATAGATCAAGAAAATAAAGCTTGGGGTAACAGGGGACAAAATAAAGCTTGGGGTAACAGGGGACAAAATAAATATCTGAGAACCCCTTC